TAGAGTGTAGTGGGCAGATCGGAGTGGTTGAGTCACAGATGAATCCCTCTTTTTTTTCCTTTTTTTTCTTTCTAAGTTTTACTAATTCTAAAGAACTATTATTTGTTACTGCCCAACTTTGCATGCATGCTTTGGAAATAATAATGAATTTCTAATTAAATTCTTCTTTATAACTTACTGTAACGAATAAATTATGAAAACTTGAATTCTTATTCGTGATCTTTCTTGCATGAATGCAGCGGAATTTGAAATAAACATGAGGTGATTCATCGCATATTATCCTACATATTCGTAAAGCCATGCAAAAAGTTTTTTTTTCAGTTTCGGAACCGTTACGCAGGGCGGGCTGCATTTTGAACGGAAAATTTACATATAAGCTACTGAAGAAGTCAAAGTTTTTTTTGACTCATGGACCTGAATTCTGGTAGGACGTTGACAAAACAGTTCTGAATTTTTCGATAGAACTTATTTTATAATTAATAGACACCCTCGATGAGTCTCGTTAGTTTTTTTTTTTAAATTTAGAAGTGACTTTTGTACATAAATATTTATTTATTTATAACAATGGGGGGCTCCTCAACCTCTTACTTGTCATTTTAGCACTTACACAGTACATAAATATTTGATTACTTGGTTATTGGTCACCACTGTATTCTTTTAAAATTTTCAGATATTGTATGTAGATTTTATTAAGGTTAGATAAAAGAAATCTACATTACAATATATATATATATATATATATATATTATATATATATATATATATCTATATATTATATATATATATATCTAATAATGAATAACATTATATATCTAATGAACTGTTGCGTGAGATTTGTAATTGGTCCCCCGAGATACTACCATGTCTCTCACCACTACACTGAGTTAGAGTGGCTCTTTCCCTCCATTCGAAGACAATATTTCCTAGGTTCATTCCTCTATCATATCATCAACAATCATCGTCCTTTCTACGCCTACAACCTTCTCCAATTCAAGTCCTCAGTCCACTCCCTCTCCACAAGATCTCGACCTTCCGAGCTTTACAATCCTTCTCACAGATCTGCCTCGTTCCAAAACTCCTTTATTGCACGTTCTGTTAGTTTCTGGAATTCCCTTCCTATCAAAATTCGACATTCTTCATCCTTATCTACATTCAAAACCCTCCTATTCCAATTCCTGTCCCAAAAACAGTCAAACACCAGCTAACCTTTTATGTCAAATTACATATTATCTATAAGACCATATTCACATACAGCTCATACCTAAATACTTATTATAGATTCGACTTTCTTTTTTTTTCTTTTTTTTTCAACAGAAACAGATTTTACTGTTAAGAATAATATACATTTTTTTATTTTTTCTAAAAGGGTTTATTTATATTTTAACATTGTACATAGTTTTAAGTATCTTAGTATGGTTTCAAGAGTTTTTTATATAGATTTTTTAAATTTTATTTTGTATATAGTATGTATAACCAATATTTTTTTCTTTTCTGTTTTTTAATGACCTATCTTAATCTTAATTTGTTATGTTTGTTTTTATCTGGCCAGATGTAAAATTTTAATTTGTACTTTTTTGTTATTCTGAAGGGACCTCGTCCCAGAATAAAATTATTTTTCTATTTTATTCTATTCTATTCTATATATATTTTTTACTTTTTTACATCTATTAGGTAACGAAAGTGTGGGTCGAATTTTGGATGTATATTTTTAGTCGTCTTAATCGAACCAGTTTTAGCAAAGTTATAGTATATTGAATGTTTTTATTATTGTGAATTGTTTAAATTTGCTTTTATATAATATCTTTCTAAAACATATGTTACTTTTTTTTTCAAACCCTTTCCAGATTATAAGATTTATTTTCTTAAAGATACCACTTGAATAAGTTTATAGGAGACATGTGGATAGTACTAGATTCTGCTATTTATGTCCGACAGGGAGATGGAGGAGGAAGTTAGTATCGAATGGTACTTAGCATTGGCTAGATATTATGTTACAGTCTTTAAAAGTGAAATGTACTATGTTTACCTTGCAACTGGCCTGTACTGATCATTTATTCTCATTTCAGGGAAATTTTATAGGAGAAAAAAAAAAATAAAAAATTTACTATTATAAAAAAAAAAACGAATTTTTTTAACATCCTATTAATTATCGTACATAGTATGGCACAAGTCAGAATAACATTTCCGAAATAAATAATTAAAATAGAAATTTCAAAAGTCTACTGAACATTAGATAACATTCCATTGTAATCAGTAAGTGGGAGCATGTTTTGTTAACTACATTAAAGTTGTTTGCCAACAAATAAAAAAACTCGGCAAATTTAAATGAAAATTTTCATTTTTTTTTTAAAGCTTAGTTTTAATATATTTTCGATAGTAATACACTTTTTATGAAAACTCTTATCTCATGTTCAAAACGACTGAGCATATGCATAACTTAGATACCAAATCTGCCAAAATATCTCCGAGAAAAGACATTAATGTATTTTTATTTTGTTATATTTTGTGATTCTAGAAATCTTGAAGCATAAAACCTCAAATTTTAAAACCGATTTTTTTCCTTGGTTGCTAAAAAAAGTTAATCATTGAAAACAATAAACTTATAAAACAAATATAGAAATGTGCATTATTTTTTTTGTAACAACTATGATAGACAGGGCTACCTGACAACAATACGAATTAGTATGATTAAAGTAGTTTTCTAATGAAAACTTCTGTTTTTTATTATACAATAACCAATCTGTTCATCTCTATGGTCGACGTTCAACTCCAATGTAAAAAAAATATGGGATACCAATTTTATACAATCACGCTTGTTGATTTTTTACATGAAAAAACCTGTTATTTGTTTTACAGTTCTTTTAAAGAATAATAATTTTGAAAAATAAATTTAAAGAGTATTTGTAATACCTCCAAAAGGAATTAACAACACAAAAGTATGGAAGACGGCTGAGTTAATTTTGCACCATGACCGCGTGATCCTTTTGTTTCACTCAGGCAAGTTAACTAAAATTCACTAAACAATCAAATTTCCTTTGTTTAGTCAACTATTCTCCAAGCTCTATAAAGGCCATGAAGTCAACAATTTTCCAGGATTACAACTTGTAATTATAGTAGAACTGATCAAGAAATAGTGTATGTCGTCAGTATTTCATATTTTCAAGTATCTGCATGAATTCCAATGGTGAAGACAGCTATAGAAAAAAAACAAAATTGCATTCTATTATTTTCTTGGAATGTTAATAATGTGAATAATCGTTCTTCCATATAAGCCAACTGCTTTACTGAGATGGATTCAATCATAGCCAGTCAGTGAGTGAACAAGACAGCAATAAATATGCCTAGCAAGTATCCCTATGTAATGAAGGGGAGTGGGCATAGGAGGACGCCTCTGCAATTAAGCCATTAGATCTATCTGCCTTCTGTCTCTAGATGTGAATCTGCAGATAGTCATCGATGCCTTCAGCAGCATGTCTTCAGTCCCATTTCCAAATCAATGTCTTCATTTCACTACATCCTTATCCTTTTTTAGATAATGTTAATTGAACTGCTTTTGATATGTTTTTAATGGATATATTTTTTTCACCTATTATTTTATTGTTGAATCATTTTTTAATGGCGATCGTCTAGTTTGCTATTTTCTTGATTTGGTTTTGTTCAAATTTTAAGTACATATTTCCGTTGAAAGTGGATTATATGTTGCGCATTGAGTGAGCTATTTATAAATGTATGGTACGATTATATTTTTTGTCAATTAATTAGATCATCATTTTCAAATTGTTCCGAAGAAATAGTTTCAATCATGGTCGCAGCAGGCAGGACTCGAGAGGAGCCCAGCCTCTTCCACTTTCTCTAATCCACTGTAGTTAATGAGGGACCCAACTTTGTTTTTTACTTACTAGTGCTCGCAATTTCTAAAAACAGTATTCTTCTCAATAGTAATTACTCGTTTTAGTTAAACGTCACATTCTGACATCGTTTGCCTTAATACATTCGACCTCCAAGCGACATTAGCAAAACACGTTTATTCGTATACGCAATATAATATTGTCCAGATCGTTTATTCAACACAGTTTGATGATGATTCATACCACTTTACCACGATTGTTTAAGTAGTAGAGCTCTTAATAAATGATCAGCTTGTCTAACAGAAAAATATTCGTATTTTTTAATAGACAATAAGACACAGTTATCCATAAACTTCTACTTATCCTTTATTTTATTCGCTTGAGGCATATTTTTTTTTAGCGCCGAAGAGTTTGAAGACTATCATGAATTTAAAACCTAAACTTTATAAATAAAAAATAAATATCACAGGCCTATCACATAGCACCCTAGAGCCTTTCCGCAAGAATTGCGATTTATTTCGAAAACGGAATATTTGTGCTCCTTAAAACGCAGGGCGCGGTATAGGACCTTGGTCTTGATTTCCTCATTGAACTCTTCAGAACGCAGTTCATCCCGTCTTGATCCGTTGACTTATGAAACCATCGCATTGAAACTTTCCATTTTTTTCAATTATTTTTAATGAATTGGGATTCCTCTATTTCTTCATTTGATACTTCATTCATCACTCATGTGAGCCCGAAAAGGGATATATTCTACCGATAGTGTTGATTTCTTTTCTTATTATTTTATTTATTTATTTATTTGCAAAAAAAAAAAGAACATAGAGGAATGTTCATAAGCCAAATGATAATTTATTAAGTAAAAATGTTTTTCACAGTTGTTTCACTACTTTGAATAAGCTGGAAGGCATCATTTCAAATTGTTCAGTACTTCTTCATAACTCACATTCTTCAATCGATTCTAAGATTCAACATATAGGTTGTGAAATGTCTCACGAGGTGAAATTCGCTCAGATGATTCTAGATGGTGAAGTGCGCATGTGTTGCCTTTATTTATTTCCACTGTTAACAGAAGAAAAATGGGTTCCTTCCTAGCTATAAAACTGTCTTGAAGGAGTGTCTTCTTGGATGGATCGGCGGAAGAGAACAGGAATGGAAAAGAGCCGTCACCCCCCTAGACGAAGAGGATATGGAGCGACAAAAGGAAACCTGATCGGAGCGGAGTGCTCCCAAGAAGGAGAAGTGTCACTTTCCTCAGAGGTCTATTTAAGTAGGAATAGAGGGACACTACTCGGTACTCCCGGGTCGTGTCGAGCCTCGAGACATTTTTTTGGCATTGTAGGGGAGGGGTCTATTTCTGTAGCTCGTATAAATTCCCTCCGTCTTAGGAGCTTTATTTTAAAAAATATATATCTGTCAACCAGTCACTTCTCCAAACCTCGTCTTCAATCAACTCCACTAATATTCTCGTCCCCAGGTGCTTGTTTTTTCTTCCCAAAAGATTTGAATAGACAGCCTAATGAAGATGTATTTCAACCTTTTATTTATAAATTCCCCACAACGTCTAATTCAACGGACTCTGCTTCCTGTTTCAGATTCCCTGATTTACTGTTCACTGCTTGTAGTTCAAAATTTATCTGCCTCCGGTTGTTCGGAAACTAATACAGGTTCATGATTTTAAAATTAAACAAATAAAATAAATCAATGAACGCTCTATTGTTCTCAATACATTTTATCATCGTGTTGATACCTTTTCTATTCCCTCTAAATAGTATGTTGAATCGTTATTACTAACAAATTCTGAAAACGAATATTCTGGCGAATTTCCATCAATAAAAGTTCTATCTTTTAGAAAGAGGCCACAAGGTTTAAACAAATAGTAGTCTGTAGGGGAGAGGTTTGGAAAGTAAAGCGGAAAACATTTTTTCTGTTTGAGAAAAAGAAGTGCAGTGGAAAGTTAATTAAGAATATTTTTTTGGCGGTTGTTTAGTGCATGAAGAATCCGTGTTTAAAGCTATTTGACCTTTGCAAATGCGTTGAGGTGGTTTCTTTATAAGTTTTCGAACAGTTCTTCTTGGATTTTATTCCATTATAACCGGCAAATCACCGCCAGTAAGGGTAAAAGTTCTTCCAATACCATCTTTATCTTCGAGGCTGAATTCTTCTACTAGAAATGTTTTGAACCGTTGAACGCACCGCGTTGTTTTCCAGACAACCCGATACAAAGGATGAGTAAAATTCAATTCAAACTTCGTTGTTTTAGAGATGATCTGAAATTGTTAAGTTATCATACATAAAAAAATGTTATTTCTTCAAATGATTATGGGTGAAATTTGTAACCTATTTTCAATTGGACAAATTAATATCGTGTATCAATTTAACACAGTACCATTTAATGTCTCTAAACTACGCGTTCCTCAAATCTGGCCAAATTACTACTTTAGTGATAAGATTTTTGATTATAGATACAAAATTTGAAATTTAACAAATCACTCAAAAACAATGTTAATACACCTTTTATTGCATGATTTTTTCTGTTAGAAAGCTCATTTCACAGCTGAAGAGTCATATATAGAATTATATCATAGTTTTTTACAACGTTGATAAAAATCATCGTTGTTTAATAATATAATTCTGGGTATCAAATTATTAAGTTGTACTAATATGACGCAAAATTTAAGAGAATTAATTTCTTAAAAGCATTAATGTTGTATAAAGCAAAAGGTATGTTAATGGTTTGATTTTTAAAAACCAATTTTTAAAAGTTCCTAAATTACTATCACAGCAAATAAATGAAAGACATCGATGTATTTATAGCGATATGTTTGTAAGATCGATCTTTGGCTTTCAATGTTTTGGAAATTGATATATCCATATTTTTTGCCATCACACCTCCCGGATTTAACAGATAAACTAAACAAAATTTATAAATAATTTTATTTGTAACATTGCAAGAAACGTATTATGTTTAACGATGGATTTTTGATTTTGGAGATTGGAAACGCGCAAATTGTAGAAGCATGCGAGGCTATTGTTTGTCACAACCCAACGGATCCTTATTGCACTTGTCTCTTACACTGGCCGTATAATCGATTTTGGTCGTGTTCTGCTATTCGCACATTATCGGATGTTTCAGGACGTTTTATAGGTTTATAACGAACAATTTTCTGGTGTAAATTTATCAGGGGAGGCCATATGCAGATTTTCGATTTATATATATAACTGTTTTCTTTTTTTTTTTTCTGAACTATTATTAAACTAAAGACAGTAGGGAAAATAATTACTGAGCTCTTGCTTGCATACTCTTACGATATTTTATGTACTTGAGAATTCAAGACAAGATATAGACATAGACTTTATAATAGACTTTAGAAATAGACTTTTTGAATGAGAACTAAAATTACTTAAATTATATACAATTTTCTTTACTGATTTACACTCCACTTTTACGATGGAGGTTTATTTACTCGATTTTAAATGCGGATAGCCTATTACTATCCGAACCGAGCAAAAAAATAAGGCCGTGTTTTCTTCAGGACATGTTTGAAACTGATACTTTGGCAGGTATCTTTACGGCTCTAGGTTTGCCTTTCTGAACGAGCCGACCAGAGATTAATTCTGTAAATTTAATGTGCAACTTGCGCTGCTGCCCTTTGTTCCCCGTAACTAAACAGGTGTTCCATTTGTAATGCAATAGTGCATTACTGCTTGATTACACAAGCTGTCCGTCAGTCATAGCGTATTTATCGGTTTTCTTTGACTCTTACAATCGTCCATTCAGATAAAGCTTATAATTTACCTTATACTTTATAGGCTGTACTAGATGCTTACAATTGATGGTTAATTTGAGATTTTTCGCTGTTATAAATGTCAGCATGCAACCGAAAGCAATCCGTCTGTTGGTTGTTGACAGTTTTACTAATGAACTCAACTTAGATTCGTGCTTAGACTAATAAAAAGTTGGCATCGAGTAAATTTATATATTCATTTCTTAGTATTGATTATTTTTTAAATTAAACCTATATTAATATATCACGTATTTTCTCTTTTGAAATGGTGCTGTAATACTTAGAGTAGTGGAAACATGTCTGAGAAATAGTTTCTTGTCCAAATTTCAAACTGCTTGAGTTATTACAAATAGTTATCAAACAATAACCATTTCGTTTAATAAATATTTTTGATAATAAGATCAACACAGAAGTTCCTTCAATATGTTTTCTTGTTTCAAAAGTGTCATTGGGATTGTAGTTTGCATGTTTCTATCCCCCTTTGCCGAGATTTTTATCGTTCTGCAGTATTTTTGAAATTTTATGTACATATTTATTATTGGCTTTGTAGGTATTGTATATCGTTACTTGAAGTAGCATAGTTATGTTTTTCTTCTTTCTACCTTGGGCCACTGTTTTCCAGTTTTCTACATACAACTGTGCAGCATCATTGCTGATTCTATCTATTCATCAGGTCTTGGGACTCTCGCGTGGTCTTTTACTAACTATTGCGTAGAATATTCGGACCGAAGAAGGATGAGTTAACCGGAGAGTTCAGACGGTTACACAACGCCGAATTGCGTGAACTGTATCCGGGTAATATAATTGATGTAATATCGTCGCGGCGAATCAAATGGGCTTGTAAAGTTGTTGGGCTTAGTAACGAGAGAATTCCTAAAATATTAATATTTGCTGTGCCGAATGGTAAGCGTCCGAGGGGTAGACCGAAGCGAATGTGGGAAGATTGCATTAAAGCCGATCTGAAGGGACTGGGTTTGGACGGCGAACGGTGGTGGGAGGTGTGTAATAAGCGATTGGTGGTGTCGGCATCGAACCTTCGGGTTCGCTAAGCCTTTTATTATTATTATTATATATATATATATATATATATATATATATATATATATAAATATCTATGCTACAATAGTTAGTAAAAGACCCGTATAGAATGCTACAATAGAAGTAAAACCCGTTAACCCGTTCAATCAAACTTAATTTAATTTATTTATTTATTTTTTATCCCTCAGCCCGGCATTGCTACCATACGGGGTTTCGTCAGTAATGGTTGATGCTTTGGGATTCTCACAAATCGTAGCTTGTCGACTTAGCAAGCTCTAGCGCGAACACCCGTGCTTTCTTTTCATGTTTTACCCTAATCGATCCGAAGTTATATAGACGTAGATACAGGAAAGCAACAACGACAGAATATTTGTTTTTAAATGTCGCTTAAATAAAATAAATAACTTTAAAAGTGTAAATTAAATTGTATCTTATTTTATATATCTCGGCCATATATATATATATATATATATATATATATATATATATAGAGAGAGAGAGAGAGAGAGAGAGAAAATTACCCTTCAAATCATTCTTAAGTTTATTATATCACTTCAAGAAGCTTTCAGTGCTTACGTTTGCACCATATTGAGGAGTAATTTTCTATCATTGAAGAATAAATTATTCAGTCTACCTATTACACGTAAATATTTTACTCCAGTGAACTATCTACTGAACTGCTTATGGTTGGTGCCACGAAATCCAGAGCCATAAACAATAGGTTCCGTTATCAATTTTCCCACTGATGCATTTACTTACCCCATCCTTCTATTTTCTTTTGCTCTGGACTATCTGGAGATTTAATTCCGCTGGCTCTCAGGTTTTGATAAGTAGGAGAAAAGGCCGCAAAGAGGAGAGAGAGGAAAGAGAGCAAAAAGAAGAAGGACGAAGAGTACTAATGGCTGGAGTATTAGTAGCTCGTGCTGGAGAAGGCTAATGCTATTGCCTGGATTACAAGGCAGATAATGCCCGCTCTGCCCTTTATTTATCTTTATCGCCTATTTTCGGTATGCCTTCCATTCCGTGATCTATTCTCTCTTCCACTCTCTTTTCCAGCGAAGCCCAACGGGGGTACGAGTAACTTGGTCTTAGAGCCTGTGAGGAATTTTAGGTATTCCTTATTCCAGAAAATATGATTTTAAACGGCTAATTATTACTCGCCTAAGGAAGATTTTTACTTCGGATTTAAATTTTCGATTAAAATACGATTTTCATCAGATAATTTATTAATCCGTTTTGGGTCATTTGCTTCCAAAGTGAACCTAATCATAATTGACAATTTTCAGAAAAAGTTAAAAATAATTTTTTCTTTTCCAATTGTAGTATCAAAACCAATATTAAAAAAAAAAATAAATACGAAGTTCTTTATTATTTGTAGCACATATTTCGATAGTAATAACATAAAAAACATTGAAACTTGAATAGGGAACTTCAAGATTTAATCTTCTGTAAGAACAATTTTACTTGAAAGTAAGAGTTTAAAATTTTCTGGTCGGATCAGAAATACAAACCAAAAAAATTACGTAGCACTTTTTTTCTTATGTATGCAATAAAAATGAAACAGAAAATTTATTCCTAAAATAAATAATGTGCAGTTTTCATCTTCTGGATATTCTTTTATTTCATTTTTGCACTTACAGACTTCATTTACTTGGCTGTCGTTATGTACAATTTATACCCGGAATTTATTGCTTTCGTTATATTATAACATATATGGTAAGATAAAGTATCTTGATAGTAAAAAAATATAATCCGAGGTTTTAACGGAAATATACTTTTTAAAATCTCATGTTCATAGAATTATATTGAAAAGGTTCATTAAAGTATCACTGTTCTTAAAAATACTGCATTAATGTAATTTATTGAAAAATAATTATTATATTTTTTGTTTTAGGTAAAGAACCATTACTGTTGTACTCAGAGATCTATAGAAGGTATTTTTGTATGACTTACTTAAAGATTGTTGGTCTCGGAAAGATTGTTCTTCAATTTATCAATGTATTTTTTTAAATTCTTAAGTTGACGATTTTTTTTTTTTGTTATAATAGTAATTGATCTATTGTAATAATTTGTTGTAGTTAATGTAATATACCTTAGATGTTGACCAAAATTTTATTTTTGTATAAAAAGTTTCTTTAGGCTCTTAATTTAGATTTTTTGCTAATATTGTGCCTCCTCTATTTACCTTTACTCCTTTTGTCTTCAATTTTTGAAGCATATTAAATTTTTCACAAGAAAACGTAATTGCTTTTAACATAGTCTTAAATAAATAACTGTCCTTTAAGCCAAAAATAAATACTCTTATTGCTCAGTATTTATGACTCTGTGATCAACCCCTGTCATTTCCTTAACTATTATGTTTAATGGTTGATAATTAATTGGTTAATAAATGAAATAACCAGGAGAGTGGTATCTCACGTATTGGGAGTTAATTTTTTATACAGCTATAATGATTTCTGTCTTAATGGGAGTATAAACTGAAATAATTTATTTACTAGGGAACAGGTGGTTTATGCTTTATGTTGGGAGTTAATTGCATGTTTACAGGTGTTAAACGGTGTTTTCACTACTCAGAGGTGTTTTGTGAAAATCACTACTTGTAAATTCGTTTCATAATTGAAACAATTCATTTATTACCACTAATTATTTATATTTATACGCCATTTTAAGTATTGCTATTTATTGCCTGTCTGTGCCTATAATTTCATAGGAGGACTGTCAACGGTTTAACTTGAAACAATTTTCTTTCTTGTCCAAGCATTCCACTGAATATTAGCTGTCGTAAATAATACCTAAGATTCATTAGTTACATTGGTCCATATCTAGAGTAAACTGATTGTAGCTACTTTGTATGTTATTCAATTAATTTTTTCGGACCCAACCGGTCTAGAAAAAAAAAATGTTTGATTTATTATCTAGCATAAGTTATTATCTAATAATAAAATCTCGAAATAATTTTGAGCGGCTGACTTAGCTAATTCGGATAATTTTTTTTTAGGGAAAAATAGAGATTTTTTGTTGTTTTTCGCATACGTATAAACCATTGGGGGGAATCTTGTTAACATTATACGACGCAGTAAGGTTAGGTACTGCTAATAAAGGCTGAAACAATTTTTTATATTTTACTGTTACTATTTTTATTTATCACTTAATACACACACTCATATGAATATATTCAAATTAATTCTATAATTTTCATAACTTAAATAATAATTAATCTTAGCACTAGATTAATAAATATCACGCATAAATGTTTGGAGGCCGCAGGTTCTCCTCCTGTAGTATAAACCAAGTATAGCTTATATCAATCGAAAAGTAAAATTTTGCTGTTTCAATTTCAGCCTTGCTTGTTAGCGATAACTTGAATATGATTAATTTTATTGTCATAGTTTCTAGATTCGGTACCATTTTTAATTTTTTTTTTTTTTTAAAGCATTAGGCCAAATGTTACCAATAATAAACATTTTCACATTATTTATTTATTATTCAAAGTTTCGGCTTCTCGAGCCATTTTCGAGGTTCTGCCAACAATTTTTAATTTAGTTATTTTATTTTAAAATATGTCATTATAAAAAACATAACAATTTGTAAACATTGGGTTACATACATAGTTCTGATTATATTTTAGGGGAAAAAAATATAATATCACAATTTTTGAATATTTCGGTTTAAAATAAATGCAAAAATTATCTACCGCTTCATAATTTAAAAAAAAAAAAAAAAAAAATATATATATATATATATATATATATATATATATATATATATATGTATATATATATCATTATAATATAATTCGTCAGTTGAACATTCCCTTATTTCATTGAAGGTAGTTTTTATTTCTAAAAGTTATATGTAAATAATTAAAATACAATGTTAAAATTAAAAAAAAAGGAAACAAGAAGAATATTATTTGATCTCAAAATATGTACCTAGTTAGTGAATTTATGGAACGCATGAACGTTATATATATATGTGTGTGTATAACGACAATTACTTGGGAAGAAAAATAAAGATACTAAATACCTATATGAAATGGTGTTCTTTAAAAAGTTCTTTTAAAAATATAATCTCACCAACAATAATACTTTTAGAGATATTTTTTTCATAAGACTTGGTTTTATTTACTTGCTGTATATGCGTTATAATTTTAAAATAAAACATGTTAAAAGATATTAAGTGTGGTGTTCATTTATAACGCATTCATTCAAGAAAGGATTTATTTTATATAAAACTGGGGTCGTATATTAAATATGACTGTACCGATCCACACAAAACGTTGGAAGTCTACGGTTGTATACATTTTACGAATCGTAACAAAACCGATTCCCATAAAAAATTAAAACTGAAAATAAAAAACATTTTGCGGGATTTTTTGTATGCCGCACTACGTTTTCTCCCCTAAAAGGGCATACATTAAAAATAATTGGTGATCCTACGTCCGTGTCAGATATAGAGGGATTTTCTTCTAGTCAGTTCTAATAGTAGAGCATTCGCCTATCTAGGAATTCCTTGACGCGTATAATCCAGTTTATAGCCTAGTAGGACCGGATGCCTGCAGTGTATGAAGTTATTAAGGTCGGTTACTCTGCATATTGCCCATCCTCACAACCCGCCGGGCTACTCTTACCCATCCACAACCCTAATGGCTATTTATGCCAGCCTGTCCTAAATGCCGTTTTTTATGGCATACCTGTGTGCAATTATTTTTCTTCACAGAATGGCCTATATTGAGCCTATGAATTATTTTCATAATAATTCGGAGGATTTCATCGGCACTTCAATGGAGCCGCCATTCCACCTGCTCCGTTTGCACCAACACCCCTGATATTTAGTAGCTGATATCTATCAGGGTAAATGTATCCCACTTCGTATCTGTATTTCCACAAGGGATTAAATATCTGCTTCGTCTAACTTATCAGGATCTCATTGGATTGGTACTTTTACCTTGTTGGTTTTGAGTTTTCGTTTCTTTGCTTTTGATTTTTTACATGCCTTCTTGACAAATAGCGAATAAAAAGCATCCGGGAGAACGACCATATTTTTAGAGCTTTCCTCGCCGGTCTGTTTTTTAATTTTTATTTTGAAGGGATTATGTATATATACATATAATGTTCCTCCTACTAATATATGTTACTGCTTCTTATAATGGACCTCATATAACTCTTGTCTAATAAATGCTGCCAACTTAGCAAATTGTCTTACCATGTACGTACATTACTTCGAATAAAACTCCGGAAACTTGTATATTTTCGATTTTTGGATTAACTTAATTTTGTTGAACATTAGAGATATGATATTACCGATGTTTTCCGCAGACCAGGAATTGTTATTGTATGTATGGAACGCATGAACGTTATATATATGTGTGTATATAACGACAATTACTTGGGAAGAAAAATAAAGATACTAAATACCTATATGAAATGTAGTTCTTTAAAAAGTTCTTTTAAAAATATAATCACACCAATAATAATACTTTTCGAGTTCTTTTTTTCATAAGACGTGGTTTTATTTATTTGCTGTGTATGCATTATAATTTTAAAATAAAACATGTTGTTATTCTCCAAATATTTAGCCATTTTTGGGGAGAAGGAGGAAGTCCAGCCAGAAAGGAAGTAGGTCCGGTCCGGTCCGCCTATGCTACTGACAGATGAATTTCTTACTGTTATTATGTACAATATTAATGTTGCTGTAAGCACGATCTTGGTAAATCTTCATGTGGGTTTGTAATAAACGTTTTAAAAAACCTATTGATTGAGACTATCAGGTTTTGATCTACGTCTTATTATTATATAAATAGGTAAACACAAAACGGTTCAGGTTCCTTTTTCTCTTCTATTATTCAACTGATTTTCTTCCTTCTTTTTTTGTTTAATAGCTATTGACGAGTTATAGCATTATCGATAAATAAAAATATGAAATAGTGTATGTAAA